GCGTCTCCGCCCCGACCCCCCCCCCCCAAAGCCTGTAGCGTTGCATGGGGTTGCTGTGACCATAGTGCAGGACCCGACATTTGGCTTTGTTGAACCTCATACAGTTGGCCTTGGCCCATCGATCCAGCCTGTCCAGATTCCTCTGCAGAGCCTTCCTACCCTCAAGCAGATCGACGCTCCCAGCCAGCTTGGTGTCATCTGCAAACTTACTGAGGGGGCACTCAATCCCCTCATCCAGATCATTGATAAAGATATTAAACAAGACTGGCCCCAAATTTGAGCCCTGGGGAACACCACTTGTGACTGGCCGCCAGTTGGATTTAACTCCGTTCACCGCCACTCTCTGTGCTCGGCCATTCAGCCAGTTCTTCATCCAGCAAAGAGTACAACCATTTCCAAGTCAGGCCATTGTACACAAAATCTTCTGGGATATCTATTCCAGGAACACCTCCCTGGTACCATGAGCTACTGCTGACAATGACAGTCACTAGCAGCTGCTCCAGATGAAGGAGTTGGTATAGTGAGGAGTTTTAATTCAAAGTGAGGAACGCAGGGTTCAGGGAAACTGGTTACACACGCCCAACATGTCTCATACTGGGCACAGAAAAAACGTTTCAAATCAGATCTTTTAAAAATGCCACTCTAAAATTGTTTGACAATAAGATGTTTTTATTTCATGTTCTTTCTCTTCAGTATAATTCCCAAATATTTGGGAAAAACAGTCACACTTCCCAGCTCACCTCTAAGGCAAACTGATTCACTTGAGGTAGGGGAAGCTACTTCTCAAGACAGTATCTCCTGTGAAAACACTTTGCAAAGCTTTTGCCATCTAAATCCAGGAGCAGGTAGCACAAGTGGCTCAGATATCCTCTACTGGTACAGGACTACACTGCAAGGGAAGGGACTCTCCAGTATCTGAAACCTGCAGCCTGAACCCAGCAATGAGCTGTGCGTGGAAGACAAATGCAGGTGACACACACCTGTACTGCAGTCAGCATGGTTCTGAGCCATCCTGAAATCTAAAGCCACCATCCACCTTGCTTACACGATGCACACGCGAGGGACAGAGCTGGTCCAGACCCTCTCTGAAGGCAGAGTCCCAGCTTGTCCCCTGTCAGAGTCTAGTCCAGGAGCTCATTAGTGAGCTCTGCTCCAGCTGCGCAGGGGCAGCAGCAGCCGAGTTCCCAGCTCTGCTCTTGCAAAGCACAGTGTAGACATTTCGCACCCGAGCTAGAGCCAAGGACAGCCTGTCACACCAGAGGAATATGCATGGACAAAGGCTCAGCGGCTAGACACCATCCCATGCAGACACAATTCCTGAGTCTTCATGTCTACACTAACACAACATGTTGCAGGAACCTCATCTGGAGGTGACTAAAAACGTAAGCACTATCGTGAGCTCGTCTTTTTTTTTCCCAAGCCAATTCCTTTCAGCATTTCCAAGCAAAGAGCTTTTCCCTAGGATCTGTACACTCCAAATACCCTTACCCTGATGGAAATCTATTCAAATTTTCTACTATTGGTACTCAGTTAGGGGTCACAACTACTTCTTTTCATCATTGCACAGATAGGTGTAGCAAAGCAAAGCAAGTAGGCTCATTTGCTTGGGGTACTCTTGCTCCTACATTCCAAGCAGTCAACAGTACCCAAGCTAGGTACATATTGTAGACAGCTTGAACATAGAACCTCAAGGGCAGAAGGATCTGCCCTCAGATGACTGTCAGCAGGTCTCAGTGATGTTAGCTTGAATTTCAGAAAAAAGAAATTGGCACTTCATACTTTCAATTTTCCTTCAACACCTCTGACACCTTAATAGTATTTGTGATCTTTTTTCTCCTGATCTCTGAATCCCATAAATGCTTATTAGAGTAATTAGCCTTCATGATGCTGCAATCAAATTGGGTATCTGCTCAGAACTGGCCTTTTCTCTGCTCCCAGAGGCCCACAAACGTGGCACAACCTCCTGTCATTACCAGTATCCGTGCTGTGCAGGGCAGGGCATTTGACAAGAGAACTAGGCAACTGCGTGTGTAGTGGCAAGAAGCTAATTCTTTGCTGAAGCATGTGATAATCAACTCCAGATTTTGGCTGCATGAGACAATTTACTGCAAAAGTTCAGCTATGATACAATAAGAGTAAAGAACCACATGAAAAAGGAAAGTGTCTGTAAATAGCAGAAAGGAGACAAGTAAACACAGAGCAGCAAGTCATTTGCTGTGCTTGATCATGATGAGACCTACAATAAACTCAAGGATTCGCTGCTATTTTTTCAGTGTGATCTTTAACTTGACTATTTTTGCAGTGCAAAATTAGTGTGCGAAACTCATAGCTGTTAGAAGAGCCTACCACTTTTTAATCTTTATTTCTTAAAGCCTGTTCATTTAGAAAGAAGTTGAGACTATTCAAGTCCCTGTTTGTTCATCAGAAAATAGAGATTAAACCCTGCACGTTCACTGCTATGTACAGCAGGTTAGCAGAGCAATAATCCATTCATTCTTAGTAAGGGAATGCTATCATCTTTGTCTGTGGCAGCTGGTAATGGCTCCTGTCCAGCAGGAGATCAGACCATTTACCCAATCTGATTTGAAAAGTCCCATGTTTCTGATGTCATTCCTACAAAGAAACAATGCTTAATCAGTTTTCACGGCACGGAGGCTGTTAGTCACTCGCGCTGACAAAATACAATTGGTCAAAATCATCCTGGCCATGAGGCTGACTTGAGCGCTTTGCAGGCAGCCACAGGCAGGATCTGCCTGCCTTTCTTATAAGGTGACATGTGCTACTGCAAACACAGATCCCCTCGGCTGGCCCTCGGCTTGCCAAAGCTCAGCTGTGGGGTGCCACATGCAACACATGCACGTTGACTGACGAGCAATTCTTTCCCCTTCTATCAATTATCCTTCAGGGAGCCCTTTGCCAGCACTGGGGTACCACGGCTGACACCTGCCCTAAGTGATATAAGAGAATTTTGCTCATTCAATGCCTAAAAAAATGAATAAAGTCTGTCACAGATAGAGAAGAGG